AAAAAGTCAATCACTTTTGACTTATCAATCATTAGCTATACATTGAGAGAGAAGACAGACATTTATAATACTGATAAACAAATGTCTCAATTGATTGAGTAAAACATTACATCCGAGAGTCAAAGTCTGGACACAAATTAATATAAAAATATCTTAAATGAAAAACATTTCTAATAAACAAAAACAACAAAAAATAAGTAAAACCTTATCATAAATGAGAGCCGGAATCGAGAAAATAAATATTATAATTAAAGTAAAGGTTTGGCAATCGATTTGACACAACAGGCCCTTCAGGTGCGCTCTTCACCTAAAGCCTGACACCGGGAACGGGTGGAAGCGGTCGCTTCGGCTCTCTGACCATATGTCGGGCTGTCCTAAACGTTGAGAGTGTGGGCGAATGGACCGGAAGGTCGGTGTAGAGGCCGTGTTGGCGCTCAAAGCGTGTCGACTGCATCTCGTCGTGAAGAGCCCGTGTAGTGCGCGAACCCGACGAATGCGACGGCCGGGGCTTCTTCTGGGGGCGACCGCCAGTCAGGTAATTGAGTTGTTGGGGCGACGCGTTGGACAGCGCGTAATGGGAGCGCAGCAACGGTGTGGCGCTACCCAACTGGCCGAGAGTGGCCGCTCTGTGCGCCGCCCGACGCAACGATCGCGACTGATAGATGTGGTGCTGCGGATGGTTTGGGTCCAAATACGCCGCGTTATCATAGGAGGCGTCCGGCAGGAGAGCGGCCGACGACGAGCCGAGCGCTGCCATACGCACGGCGTCCGCCACTTCGCTGTAAGTGTTGCAAACGGCGTACGGATTGATCGCCGGCCCATTGAGTATGATTTGTGTCGGGCCGGTGGACAGAGCGTGTGTCACACCCGCCGGATCCAGTTCTGCGTACACCGGGCTCGACGTACAGCTGGCGGCGTCGCTATACGGGTCAAAATCGGCGCTCACATCTGTGCCGCCCATACGATCGCAGGGACCGCCGCCGTAGCCGTCGGGGCTGTTGGGGTCGCCGTTTGGGCCGCGTTTCCAGTATTTACTCGATATGCATGTCTTTTTGGTCGGCGCATCGGTTATCACACTCTGCGGCGACTTCTCGTTAACCACTGGCGATATGCACGAGTCGGTCGGCGAACAGGGAGGCGGCGCCGACTTATGACCGCCTAAAAAACTCTCCGGCAGTATAGGGCACGAGTCGCTGACCGGGAATATCTTCCAACTGTTCCCCAGAAGATAAACAAAATGATTATTTTAGTGACATTTCTATTCAAGACATTAGAAAAAATAGACAATACTTTTTGCATCGGAAGAGAACAATGAGGAATAGTATACAGAAGAGCGTTGAGCCGAGTATTGTGACCACAATCACCGACAGCCACGAGTCGGCGTCCTTCAGATCAGGTGTGGTGACTGTGGAGAAGTCGTAATCGGATGGGTCTTTGAATATGTGACACAGATTGCAGTCATCGGCGATCGCCGTCCGATTGGACACAAGAAGTGCGTGCATTGCGGGCGGCAGTGGCGGCGGTGGCATCGATAGTATGGCGTCGGGCGGCATGTCTTCGTCGAGAGCCTCAGCTGAACACATATTGTCCGGACACGTGAACTCGTGAGTAAAGTCCTGCCACTCGGACTCGTCGACCGACGACAGCAGAGGTGTGGGACCAGCGCTCTGACCGCTCACAGAAGCCATTGTCGACACGATGGCCATCAGCGCCAGCCGTTGTGACCATTGTTTGGCGTCCATATTGTGTGGCCTTTATGTTTGGCGTAACGTGTCTTCGGTAGGCCTTCTTCGCGAGCCTATTGTCTACTGAATTGAGGCAAACATTTGGTCGACAAACACTTCGCGGACACAAAACACACACAACTTGTGGACACAAATATTGATAATAAAAATGCAATTATTATTTCGGAGATAATAATCAAATTGAGTGACAGATTGAGTGATGTCTTTGAGAGAC